AAAGAGTGCTATCAGAAAGGGCGTGCTTTGATGTATTGAGTAGTGAGCTGAGGCAAATGTAATATCTAGAAGTTCTGAGGTGTGAGAAATCAATACAAAAATGTTATGTTGAAGAATACCGCTTCAGAGGACAGCCTGGCTTCAATAATTCAGATAGCTGCTGTGGAAATGGATTTATTTAATATGTAACTAGAATAAATCACAAGTGACGAGGGGTTTGGATACGGATTTCTCAAATCTGTGGAGACTTGTTTTGTTTTGATAACATGAAGAGGAACGTAGGGACTCATACAAAACTACTTGATTGTCTTATTTAGTAGGCTTGATGAAGAAATACTGTAAGTTTTTTTCCTGTGTGATTGATGTGTTTATATTTTCTCTGTATGGTAGATAAAGTTTAATGTCTCTAAGTGTAAGAGTATTAAAATATTTAACCTGTCTTCCTCCTTTAGCTATGCTCCTTGGTGTTCAGCTTGCCAACAGATGGAGTTGATATGGGAGAGTTTTGCAAAGGAGAGTGAACATCTAGGTATCACCGTGGGAAAGGTGGACGTCACTCAAGAACCAGGTATAGTATGAAATAGACTGCTTTAATAAAAGGAATTATTCAATATAAGTATCACTTAGTATCTAGGAGTGTGCTTTATTTTACTGGTGTTCCTGAGATACCAGCCAAGTCAGAAGTAGGAGGTTTCTAAATCAAAATAGTGTTATCTACATTTTTTGTCCATGTAGTTCATATCTGTGAGCCTAAGTTTATAAACTCAATTTGAAGGATTAGAGAACTGGAGGAGTGATCTGGCTTAATACTGTATTAAAAGGGGCTTATTCTTTATTTTAATCTCCACAGAAAGCTGTTGCCTGTCTCATTCCTCTCTCCTCCAAACTGTCTGCAGCAGAATCCAATTCTGTAGTCCAGTTACTGAGAGTTGCAGGGTGTGGTAGCCACAGTGTGAACCTGCTTTAATAAGTTCTTAACTGTTTCCATGATGGTGCTGGTTTATTGTCTTTTTAATTGTAGTGCTTTAAAGTACAGATGTTACTGTTGTTTTCTGTTGGTGATGCACATATGCAAATGTGTTTACAAAAAGGGTTTCCTAACTATCCACAGAAGGATGAATATAATCTTATTTATTCCTGGAGTGATTCCTTTCAAAGTTTTGAATATGTGTTTGTGCAAGCAGTACCAATATTGTTTAAACCTCTGCATCTCTTGGGAATGTTTCATGCTTGTTTTGGCCTTGAGGGGATAAGAGATTTTATCAGCAGTATCAAAAGACTGACAGAGTTAGAAAGAGATGTTGTTAGAATAAAAAGGCTGAGCTTTACTGATTATTTTTTTTTCTTTATAAAGTGTGTGGAAAATATATCTGGTTTATTATTAGAAAACATGCCGAACAAATTAGCTTTATCAAGTTAACAGCAGGGAAATGACTTAAGCTCTGGTCTCAGAGCAATTTAAGGTCACAAGAAAATGCCAGCTGTTCTAGACCTTGTGTATGCTAATGTTTTGTTAAAAGTCTAGAAGTATACAAAAACTTTGATGCCAAAAAGCTGTTGATGTGGGGCTCTCCTTTAGTGCATATGCTAATCATTACCAGTTTATTAAGCAGATGAGTTTATATATATGCAATAAAACTTCATATTCAAACTTCTGCACATTAATGAAGTAGTGGTTAGTCTGAAGTTAAAGGCTGAAAACGGGCATCCATTATAATCCCCTCTTGTTATTTTCACCCAATTAGACTGGGTTTCTCTTGTTTATGCAGTATTCAAATAAAAGAATTTCAATCTCGATTGTGGCATTTGAATATGACTGTAACTTAAAAAAGCACTTTGAGAAGCGAGGCTGTGAAAATAAAATGCCGGAGATCTTGAATTATTCTTCCTAGTAAAGAACTTGAAGAGGAAATACTGAGTCCTGAAGGGGTCAGGCACTTGATACTTTATTTTGGTCTAAATTTTTCTGACCACTGAGTGATGCCAGATTCTTAAGGCCTTAGATGTGACTTTAAACCAGAAGTTCCTTAAATATTTGAATTTCTAATGTTGCCAAGAGTCTTGACCTCCGAGGATGTTTGACTGCTGCAAGTCAAAGGACTGACCCAAAATGATTAATTTGTACCAAAGCATTTGTAACATACCTACAGTATCCAGTTCAGCCCAGAGCATGAAAACCATAGCACTTCTAATGCTAATGAATACTCAGACTGGAAAGCAAAGATTTATTACAGATTTGACCTTTGGTGCTGATGTAATTTTGAAGGTATATGAGCTCCTTCAGAAGCTTTCCAAAGTTATCGAGGTGGTTTTTTTACTGTAGGCTTATGCTTCAGCCTTTCGGTTGGTGTGCTTCGATGCTCTAGCTCCTGCTTTTGCTTGCACAATGGTACCTCAATTAGTTTTGGTTTTGTAACTCCTTCATCTAATTGAAAGTAGTCAAAATGCGTTAAATTGGGGGAAAACCACTAGATGAGTGCAGAGTTGCATGAAATTGAGTTTCCAAAACCTGCAGGAGAAAGTAGCCATTCATGGTGCTTAATTACAGCAGATGCCCGAAGAATAAATCCACCAAACACCAAAGCCTTAATGGATTTCATCATATTTCAGTCACTTGATGTACTGGTCTTAAAGTGCTTATTTGTTCCTCATCTTTTTAATTGAAACATTCAAAAATTCAAATTGAATTGAATTGAAACATTCAGTGTTTCAAAAGCCAGTAATGGAGGCACTTCTGGATCTCAGTTATGTGTATTTGTGGTGCCTTTCTTAAGCTCCCAATCACAACATTTACCTGTGGTTTAAAACAAGACTTCTTGGATCTTTTGTAATCTTTGAGTACTTGTTTGATGGAAGCAACTTTATTTTTAGATGGCATCTATATTTTCCATGCATTTTGGAGGGGGATGTGTGTGAAATACTGAAGGTTTTTCCCTGTTCTTGATTATCTGTTGACTTTATAGTGGATGTATGTCCATTTTTGGTTCGCACACACAGATGCTTAACTGTATTTCAAGTTAAAGCTACTAACCATCTCATGAAACATGCACCAAAACAATTTACTGTCTCTTCTTAGCTTTTTGTAGCCGGATCACATCTGGCTTTACTCATCCTTAGATAAGTGCCTTAGATAAGCAGCAAACCTCCAACTAAAGTTTTGGGATGCTCAGATGCATTTTGGCAACAGATTTTGTATTTTATAATTTATAGATTTCATTGTTCATTCTGAGACCAGTGGTCCTTGCTTTAAGATAGGCTACTGGTAAGAGATTTTGGATAACTGTTTTATTTTCTGTTTGCCTGACTAGCCTTGTAAGGACTTCAGAGAGTCTTTCAGTGTTTCTGTGACTTTCTCTGCTCTTAAGCTTATTATCTTCTTTGCAGCTCTCCACCTAGTTTTTCTTGTGCAGCTGTGCTTTCTGCTTGATTAATTCTACTGTTACACTTGTGGTTTTGTTTACTTTATATCCCCTTGTGCTGGCACAGCTTTCAGCTGTTTTATAAAGTTTTCCACCACCCTGCCTCTCATAGCAATAAAGGCAGAAAGCTGAAAAGTTGAAATGAAGACGACTTCCTTCTTGGAACTTTAAAGATGCTTGCACTTCGTTTGATTTAAACATCTTCAAAAAAAAAAAAAAAAACAACAACCCCAAACAAGAAAAAAAAAACTATATCCCTTTTTTGCCCATTCCATAGGGGAATCATACTAGGAATAGCATTATTACTGATGCTTTTAAAAATACCTGGCTTAGTTCAGTATGGCTCATCTCTGTCTCTAAAGGCTGAAACTCTCGTTATAGTACTTTTCCATGGCCAAAAGATGTTTGCTTTACTGAAAATCAAATAAGGACTTAGTTTCCCAAAAGATTTTCACAGAACTTTATAAAAGCAAAAGTTAAATAACTGATTTGTACTGTTTACATTGGTACTTGATATGAATGGCAATTGCTAGCTAGAGGTATGTAGCCCTTATTAATGGGATTAAACTGCATATATAGGGGTTGATAACATCTGAAGTCTGCTACTTTTTTTTTTCCCCTGAAGTAAACTGCATTGGTAGCACGTTTTTCATTTCTGTGGTCTTGAAGTTGGATGTGGTGAATAGTATAGTAATATTAATAAGCACTAAGGTGAGTTCCTCCTCTCACTTGCAGGTTTTCTAATTGTCAGGAGGTGGTAGTGTCAAGTTGCCTGGACTTTCCTCAGATTTGGGAGCAGAGAGTGATACCTTCACCTGATAACTTACCTAGCTGAGTCAGACAGCCTGCTTATGAGATGTTTGGGAGCTTTTTGCTTCACAGCTGACTTGCAGCGAAGCCATGCACTGGGAGATCTTCACTGGTGTACCTCACCCAGCAGTGAAGCTGCGAGCACTTGCACATTGTACTTTGTAGCAGTACTGAGTGCAAGGCCGGAGAATTTCTGTCTCCCTTTTTGATGATTTGGATAATTTCTCTGTCCTATGAGTTGCATTAAGTAGTCACTATCTGGGGTGATACTTATAAAAAGATTATTATGTCTTTGCCAGTCAGTGAAACACTCACTTTCCGTGTGGGGATCTATTCCCATCAGCCTCTTGAAGCCCTACTTCAGCCTTTCTTTGTCCTTTCTGCCGTCTGATGCGCAGAGTGCTGACATGACCCACCCTTCTGGATGGTGTAAAAAGATGATTCTCACGGCTTAAACTTGCAGTGTTTTACAGAACAGAATCCTGAGACATCCCAAGCTTTACTATCAATTTGTTGGCATACTGTTTGTAGTTACCTGGAGAGGAATGATGTGTGGGAAGAAAGGATAGGAACCTAGAAACATCCAAAACACTGTCTTGCTACAGTCGTGTTTAGGAGAGAGATTGAGCCTTCCTGCGGGATATAAGAACAGACCGGTTGTGCAGTGTACGTGGATTATTTGAAAGATGCAAGCAAGCAAATGCAAAGATTAATTTATTTAATGACTTGCAGTACCTGAGATCTGAAGTGTGTGGCTCTAAATCATTTAAAATCAGGGAGAGGTTGAATGGAAGTCAGGGACCAGAGTTTGTAAGCCGTTGTCGTTGCTGTTGTTAGTGGACCAACTTCCTAGTTGAAACAAAGCTCATCTGGACAAGGCTGTGCACAGACACGAGCACGCAGCATCCTGGGATATGGGGGTGTTTGTGTGGCTCTTCTTTCTCTTGGTTGGAGGTGCGTGCTGCTGGTCTGGTCAAAACCTTCAGCTGTGTGCAAATATTGATTAGTGAAATCCATGTAGAAAAGTTACCTTGTAGTAAACATGCTTCAAGGTAAGCATTTTTCTCCTAATTTGTCAACAGCATTTACTATCTGTTACTGTTTGTGTCATTTCTGAAGACAAACTGGAAACCTGTATTTACAGAACAGTGGTGAAAGCCATGCAGTCTGCTGCTTTCTAGTCTGCAAATACAGAACTGTAGGTATTTATAGATAAGTCAGAATGCTGAGAAATTTTGGTTTCACTTAACTGTTTGATGTGGGTTTTTTCTTCCCTTTCTAGGCTTGAGTGGTCGTTTCTATATCACAACACTTCCTACAATTTACCAGTAAGTGTGTCATACTATAAACAGTTGTCTGTTTCAGTACATGTTCTTTTTTCCTGTCCTGTTTGAACAGTGGAACAACTGGCCTATTTCACTTCTGTCAGTCTCTGAAACATTTCTCAGGAGCTCAATGCACTTAATGAACAAAAGTATGTATTTTTAACTTATGGTGGAAGGTTCTCCTACAAACAGTTTTGTACCTAGATAAAAGTGGTGCATTTTTAGTCTGGAAAGAACATTTCATAGCATTTGTAAAAATTGGTGCGAGTTTACAGTATTGCCTTCTAGAAGCCTGACCATGTGTGAGCGGACACACTTGACCTTATGTAAGTGTCACTAAAATTTCTCATTTGAATAATTGACTGCATAGGTCTCGTGTAAAACACTACAGAAGTTTTCTCCTGTTTGTTGTGGTGCTTTTCTTACTGCTGGAGTTCCTCATCTGTTGACTCAGTACCAATATGTAGCTGTTGACTCCTACTTGTCACTTGTTTTAAACTTTAACTCTGAAAACAGGTGAGAATGAAGGAACACTGACTTTTGATTTCAGTTCAGGTTATTGTTTAGAGCTTTGATTGTATTGAATGAAGTTCTCATCTGAGGTTTTTCTTTAGTTTAAGGGTCTTTACTAAGTTCTCTTGCTTTCAGTACTGTTCAAAACAATCAGGAAAGGTGCTTGCTATATCTCTTCTCCAATAAAAAGATGTCGTCTTTTAAATATTGAACCTTTTATTAAATCATGGTATTGTGAATTGTGTGTATATATTTACATGCACACACATGCGCTCTCTTTTGATTCTGAGTTATGTCTAAAAAATGATTGTTAACTCATGTGCTTTGCATTTGCTGTAGTGTGAGTGAGGTTTTTTTAAGGAAAAAGCCATTTTTAATAAATGGCAAAAGCTCATGCTGTTTAAAAACTGAGACCTTCCATCATGGATTAGTTTGCAAACGTATTGAAAATGCTTAGGTTTTCAACTTTCTGAGCAAGTCAAATCTATAATGTACATGTTTTTTTGGGGGGTTTTTTTCACTGTATATACATTTTAAGGGATATCTATGTTGATGTGTATTTCTGTTTTTTAGTGCAAACGATGGAGTATTTCGCAGATATCGAGGCTCACGAACATTGGAAGATCTTCAAGGTTATGTTTTAGAGAGAAAATGGGAAGCTGTGGAGCCCGTAGCAGGCTGGAAGTCTCCATCTTCTATAATGTAACACTTTGTTTTTATTAACAACAAACATGCTTTATAGGTCATTATTCATTAAAGGTGAAACGTTGACAGCTTAGAGACAAAAGGCCTTTATTCCCTAGACACCTAGGCTTTGCAGAAGCAATCTGTATTGACAGCCTGCTTTTCAGTTTCTCACCTTTAAAAGCAGTTTATTTTTCTGCATTTACCTTTGTTCATGCCCACTGAGGCTTGTTTAGATCATCTTTGAAAATATATAAAGAAAAAAGTACAGCCACTGAGCATTATAGAAGTGTCAGTTTCAATATCTGCTGAGTACTGGAATGAAATGTGTGTTTATGTAGAATATTACTTCATGACTTGTGGCTACTTGGGGCAGGCAGCCTTTAGCTTTAAGGATTTCTTGTTTATTTGTTTACAAGGAAGTCTTGTGTCCTTCTTGGAACAGGAAACAGTGTAGTGTTTACACAGTAGATCAGAACTTGTTTTCAGAGTGTTGGATTCGCTTTGAAATAGCGTAGAATGCTTGCATGATGTAAAGGATGAACCAAAGCTGTGAATGACGTGCATTCCGTTCTGGCTAAAGCTATTATGTGTTAGTCCATGTCACAGATCCAGTGGGGGTCCATATTTTTCATCTGAGAATGAGGAAGGACTGTATTATATTTAGTAATAGGGAGAGGAGCTACAGGACTGGAATTGATATTTCTTGGTTATGCTCAAATGTCATTTTTCAAGTGACTGTTCCAACGCTTTCCGTTGAGCTGGCTTAGCTGAACATAATACAGAGAAAGTGTATTTATTTGCAGTAGTGGCCGCCTCCTGGCAATTACTGGGGACTGAATGGCATTGAAAGTCTGGAATAGAATCTTTTTCTGATTTGTGGGCAGTTTGTGTATCTCAGCTCCTATCTGTCTAAGAAACTGTTCCTTCCTTTTGTTTTCCAGAATGCATGGTATGGCAGGGCTATTTAACCTCTCTGGATGGATCAGGGTAAGTAACTGTTGTAGTGTTTTCCATACTCTCTTTTATGCTTAGAATAATAATCTGTTCAGAAGTCAAAACCTGCCTGAATATTTTTATTTTCCTTTTATAAGAGTTAAATTTTCCTTACATTTACTGTGCATTGGGTGTATAGTATCTTTGCACTATAAATTTTGTAGTACTGATAGACTATGCCGAAACATTATCATCAATACTGAAAATATTTACTGTCCTTACAACCTTGGTATAGCTAAAATGTTCTATCGACGTGTGCTAACATGATTATGTAGTTTTTTGAGAGCTGCTGCCAAAATGGTTGTAAACATCAGGAATACATTTACTGTTTACCAGGTTCTCTCGCTTGATAGGATTCCTAAAGGTCATATCCAGGTGCGCTTTCAGAGTTGTAAATCATGCTCTTCTACAGTTCATTGGTGTCAAGTATATTGTACAGGAGAAGAGAGGGTAATGGTTTTCTTTTAGGAGTAATTTCTGCATCTGGATTTCAGACTGTCAAGGCTGTTTGCGTAGGAATACAACAAATTTGGACAGTAGAGTAATTATCAGAAATAAGGGAGAAACAAAGCGTATCCTGAAGTACGCTTTGAACTTCAAAATATTTCAAGACGCTTTATTTGGCGACTATCAGAATTTTTCCAGTAGCATGCAAATGCTGAGAATTATCTGATCTTTCCAATTTTGGTCAGGAAACATACTCTTTCTTAAAATCTTCAAGTGTAGCCAAGATTGAGAGACTGTATTTGATGTAGCAAAAGGTCTTAATACTGTAACATGCTACAAAAACGTAGTAGAAAGTTTGAACAGAGTACATATCACTTCCAGTAAGCATCTCACTAACCCAGAATCAAACAAAACTTTCAATTATTATGTTTCCTGTGCAACCTATCTTGGATTCTTTATTTGCTGGGCAGTATGAACTTTTTTATAGCCTTCTGGCATTTCTCTTCCATGGTCGCTGTGTAATGATGTTGTTTCTGTCTAGTTTCCTTCCTGAAAGATTAAATGCTTCGGAAAGAAACCTTCTCTAATTTGCTTGCTGCTTTGATGAATATTTCAACCGTACATTTCCTCACTCTTCTTACTGTGCTATCCTTGCATATGCTTTATTAAATGTCGGAAGCTGCTCTGACATTTTAAAAAAAAGACCCTGGAATTTCAATATTTAAACTTTTGTAAATGTCGATTGTGGTTTGTTCTCTAATGGATTTACTCTTGGAAGAGATCTAATGTCAGTATTTACTTTCCACGAGACTATCTGACTCTGTGATGCTTGGTTCAGTCAATTGAATTTGTAGGTATGAATAACAGACTTCAGTCTCAGAGAAATCTTTATGTTATATTTGGATTATTCTCTTTCAATTGGTAACTTAAATCACTTATTCAGTATCTGCATAAAAAGAGTGGCTCCTTTTAAGAACTAAAGAGCTCGAGTAAGAAGTAAATGGCCCAATTTTAGGTAGTGAATGAATTCCCAAATTCAAGTATGTATTTTGATCTTTGGCAACTTGTGTCTACCCCTTTGTTTCCCAGATGCAATCATGGGGATAAAGCTCTGCATGAGGTTACTTTTTTTTCACTTGGTGGTGCGCTTGTGAAGTGGATATAAAAGGACACTTTTAACCTGAGTTGGTTGCTTTTTTTGTTCTGAAATGCTTACGTTCCGAGTTACCTTTTTTTAATAATCAGTTTCATGGACTTCTGTTGGTGCTGTGACTGTTGTTATCAGGGATGCTTACTGTATAGTCTCCTTCCCACAACAGAGGCCATAAGAACAAATGTACACATTCATGCCAGGAGGCCCAATAGTCTGTCTCCAACAGTTGCCACCTTCTTATGAAATATGAGGATCAGGAATCTTGTGATACTTTCTTGTATGCTCTGAGCCTTCCTCGTCCATTTATCTGCAGTAAGATTACGTATGGCATCTCTAATGCTGAGTTCCTTAGGAAGAAGGAATTGTTCATCCTTTGCTTAAAAAGCCTTTTAATGTGAACAATTTGGTAAAGAGCAACAAGTTTTAATGATATCAAAAGAATTACAGTGTGGCATTTAAGGATGACTAGGGCTTGAGAGGGAAGACTCGAGTATGAATACTGTTAAGCAAAAGGTCTTAATTAGGTATCAATTTATGTAATGGTGATGGCAATATAAATCATAAGTGGTGTTAGGTATGAAGTTATTAAGTATCTTCTACTCTTTTTCAGCAAATTCATAGCTACCTCACTGGCACTCTTGGGATTCATGTTTGGATTTCTTACTCAATCTTCATCTTAGCTATCTTACTGATCGGCCTGTTCCTGGGTTTGGTAAGAAAGCATGTTACTTTCTTTTTCTCAGTTATCTAGAACTTTAGCTTTGCATTAACTAGTGAAAAAAAGAGTAAACTTCACTGACAAGATACACTGAAGTACCTTATTTTAATGATGTATCTCTTCTTCCTGTATCCAGTGATAGGACACGTGGGAATGCTTGAAAGCTGCACCAGAGGAGGTTTTGGCTGGACATTAGGAAGTGTTTCTTTACCCAGAGGGGGGTCAAACTCTGGAACTGGCTTCCTAGAGGGGCGGTTGGTGCCCCAAGCCTGTCAGTGTTTGAGGCATTTAACTTAGCCTTGAATTGGTCAGGCAGTTGTACTAGATGATCGTTGTAGGTCCCTTCCAACTGAAACAGTCTATTCTCTTCTATTAAAATTCTTAAGTATTCAGTACTGGAGATCCACTCTCTTGTGTTGTTGCCTACTTTTGGTGAAGGTTAAAGACTGATTCACTCAGATAAGTTAACCTTTTATGAAATTCATGCTTCGGTTTAGATTTGGTTGGTCCCTCCACTAAACAAGTGGGTTTTATATTGGCCTTTTGTATCAAAGACTTTTATACTTAAGGATTGAATGTGTGTGGTCAGAATTGTGTGAAGACTTCAAGTTTCTAAAATCACAGGCTTTGTGGAGAGATTTTTGTTAGCTGGAGTGGGATTGTATTTGTGGACGTTAGTAAAGTAAGTATGCTGCTGCACTGTTACTGAAAATGAAAGGAGGAAAATATGTTTTTTAAAGGCATTGAAGATTTGGGGGTTTATTGATTTACTTTATTGCAGGGTATAGCTTTGTGGTTACAGCTTGGTTTTAATAAAATCTGACTTCAGTTCTTTCTCCCCCATGATCTCTTGGTTTGAATTCTCATTAGTAGTTGAAAAATCTGACCTTTCTTGTTACTAACCAGAACTGATGCGTCCAAAACATCAGGAAGGCTATTCAAACCAACCTGTTAGCTATATATGTGAATGTTAAAGACCATCTACTGAGCCTGATGTTGTTTCATCGTGGAAACAGTTCAAAATTGCTTTGTCAGTGGAGCTGGGATTATTTCCTCTCAGAATATTTGAATGATGTGTCTCTGTGACCTCTCAAATATCAATATTAAATGAGAAACTGAGCTGGAAAAGGAGATACGGATGGAAGTAGAAGTTCTTTCGGATTAGTTGCTCGGACCACAAGCAAAGACAGTATAAAATAGTTATGCTGATAACTGATTTAACTAGCTGCTAAATCGCCATTCCGTGTAGGAAGTGTAAAGGTTGTTTCTGGCACTGGGATCTCTGCCCTTCAGCCCAAATATTAGTGTTAGTGAAACAAAAATTGCATGAGATGTTTCTCAGGAGTATGGGGAAGTGATTTCAAAGCAGTGTGCATGGATTTAGGCAAAACCACATTTTTATACATAATATGTGTACAGAATTGGTATATATGAGCAAATGCCTTTCATTATAAATTTAAACAGCTGCATTTTTCTAGGTGGTATATTTTCATTACCAAATGAGTGCAAATCAAGTTAGTGTAACTAGGAACAAATGAATATGATGATTTAAAAAAAAACAACCTTTCCTTCTTCCTGCTTCACTAAAAAAAAGAACCAGAACTGAAAAAGCTGAAAAAATGTAAAGTTAATCTCTCAGCTTTTTTCTAAAAAGCTTTTCAGTGAAATATATTTCTCAACATGATATCATCTGTCTCTTTTTCTTTCCTTTGCATTATTCTTAGCATGTGATGATGAGACACAGATATCTTCCTTGCATTTGGATTGTATGTGTTCCGCACTAGGCTGCTTTAAATAGCAACAAGCACAAAAGGTGGATGTACACATCGTGTATTGGGGAGCCAGGGGTAGGAATGGAATAACATCCCACAGTAGAGAAAAATCTTGGCCAAGATTGTTTCATAAGTTTTAAAGAAATAAAAATCCTCAACTGTGTTCTGGGCCTCTCTTCTTACGATGCAAGCAGTTTCAATACTGAATAAATTCAGGGAAGTAGAAAAAGCAGAAAATTTGTAGCAAAAAGCAGAGAATGTTGGTTGGTATATACCGAGAATGCATTTTTTTTACGTGGTTTTATTTAGCTCTTATCTCTGAGCAAGATAATGTAATTTTCTATATTTTATTGTATGTCTATCTAAAAAGGGTCAGTAGGAAAATACTTAGTAGTGCAGGGGCTACTGGGATGATTTGCTAATAAATGTCTTTGTTTTACCTTTACACAGATACTGGTTTTGATTTCAGACTGCCTTTGCCCCTCCAAGTCAAGATACAGAGCTGAAACATCTGGTAAGAACTGTCAAGTGGGTGAGATAATGTAGGTTTAAATGTAAACCTGTAGGAGGGAAGGCAATACACTGTCAAGAACTTAAATGTGAACCAATAATCCAGGTATTCATTGTAGTCACACTGACAAAGATTGATATGTTGGGCTCTAAAATGTCAGAGCATCCACCTGGAGGGATAGCAAAGCAGACAAAAAGACCCCAAAACCAACAGTAATTTGTTCTAGCTTCCACAGCTGTGAAGAGGCTAAATGCATTCAAAATTATGAAAATTTGAAGAAAGATACTGGAGTTTGTGTATTTTATGCAAGTGCATATTTGTTAGGCCTGTTGCTTAAGCATAGAAAGGAATTTGCTTTGGCAGGATGCTTCCACATCCTAATATGCCCTCTGCATATTGCATTAGGAGATGCAACGTTCTGAACCTGTAAAACTCTCCATGTAATTTGTGGTTGGGGAAAGGAGGAGATAGAGGGAATCAAATACATCTTGGGACTGCGGGTGTGGGTATGAGTGGAAGTGTTGCATCTCCTTCAAATAAAAGAAAACATACGTCATCCCGACCCTTAGTGAGAGGGCTTCCAAATAGCATTCTACTCCCTGTGAACATGGGAGGCAAAAACTTGCACACAAAATAAAGTCTCTTGTCAGCACCAGGTGTGTGTTAAGCTCTCGAACACTTTTTGGTACATTTGTGCTATTAAGTGGAGTCAAAACTTAAATGTAATTAAAAATTTAGTTTTTAATTGTGTATGTTTGCGTGTATTGGTTTGCTGCGGAAGATGAAGACGCATCTGTGACACTTGCCAATAAGACTTTAGCCAAATCTAGAATTCCTGTGTGCAAATTACCATCTTCAAAGCCTTAGATGTTCATCACTGTCAGCAGAAAAGCACACCGGTGCGTACTTGTGCAGAATGCTATCCAGCAGCTGTTACCTGGCAGAGTTCAGTGGTGTCTTACCACTTGCCCGCTGATTTGTTTGATAGTTAAACCTCTTCAAGGAGCCAAGTAAAATTGATCTGGCTTTAGTTTGTAACTTGATGGAACAAAATTAAAGCTATCTATGTCCAATATGCAAGATAAACAAATGGTAATGGAAGAGAAATAGTACTGAAGATTTGTCCGAGATAATAATTGGAAAGTAAGGAAAATGTAGTCCTGTAGAAGTTTTCAGTAATAGCATTCATGAATATTTCTGAATACATACATGGTGATGTAACTTTAAAAGATATGTAGTTCTGAGATTCGATCTAACTTTAGTATTTGAAACTGTTCTTTTGTTTAGAAGAAGCAATTACGAAGGATAATGTGGAGAACGCAGCATTGGAAGAACCGGAGGAGGCTGCAGAGCTTTCCGCGGATGATGCGGAGGAGACTGCGGAAGAAACTGCGGATGATGGGGAAGAGACTGCAGATGTGAAAGATCTCTCAGATGGAGAAGATGTGGCAAATTCAAGTGCTGATGACTCAGAGGAGGATTTGGCACTTGGAAAAGAATCAGGGGAAAAAGAAATGGAAGACTTAAGTGAACAACAGCCTGTAGCTGGTTCAGAGACTGAAAGCTCAGTAAGACAGCGTAAGAGCCAGGTGGCTGATCAGGAACTGTAGTTGTTTCGGTGGTGTATTTTGTACACTGGGACCAAAGAAGCGTCAGACCCTTTGTCTGAAACTGGAGCTTACACTCGATTTGTTGTTCATGTTTACACGAAACCTCTGCTCTGTCAGCAGGCTTCTCTTTTTTTTTTTTTTTAAGCTAATATGTGCTCATTGGGTTTGTTTTATAAGTATATATGCTGTGTATTGTATAACTTTAGCCATGACAATCAAAATAAGTCTATCTTACCTGTTTGAAGTCTTCTAAGGGAAAAAGAGTGTAACAGAGTCTCAGTTTGCTGGCTGTAAAATGGTCATGTGTGCTTGTGTTCCTTCCCAAGTATTGACCTAAGCAAGATCAGCGCTTTCAACTCTTCGCAGTAGCTTGGCAGGACTGTGAGTTTTCTGTCTGCTTCTTTATTGTTTCCAAATGCCACAGAAGCACCAGAAAAGTGATAGAGTAGTGAAAGAAGGCACCTTACTCGTCTTCTCTGAAAAATATTGTGTGTGACGGGCTTATTTTCATCACTTTCAATTAAAACACCTTTTTTCTTTTATTAGTGCTTGTTTCGAAAGCTTATCATACACTGCGTTCCCCCGGATTTTTCCGTTTTTGGTAATTTGGAGGCATGCTGCACAGCTCAATCTGAATTTTTTTGACCCAAGGAGTTTGAGTAATTGAAAAACTCAGGCCAAGAGAAGGGCAGCTCAATGTTTAAAGTATGTTTGAATTTTGAAAAAGTTTAAAGGCAATTATTTTGGTCAGGAGGGATTTTTGCCAAAGCATCACTTATTTTCCCTCCTCTCTCCCCACTTCAAGAGATTGTAGCAACAAGTATTCACTTTGCAGTCAGCAGGTTGTGTATTTCTTCCCAATACAAACTTACCGTGTGCAGTGCAGTTCTGCCATTTCCAACTCGGAAAACTTTTGGCACAACTCAAACTGCTTTAGGAATATTAACTGAAGAGGCACTTCAGGTTTTACCTTTGATCACTTTTCTCCTTTTTGTCACTGGAATTGGGGCGTTTGGAAAGGGAGGGGCATGGCTGGGTAGTGGGGTGAAGCTTTTAGTTTTGTTACTTTTATCAAAATAAACGTGTATCTGTTGAACTGTGTAAGGTGAAAATGGCTTGCCAGGTAGACAGCATGAGGTGTGGTTAGAAGACTTAAGTCATTAAAGATGTCAGTATTTCCCTCCTTCAACTTGGTTAATTTATAAGGCTCTTTTTTGGTAAGGAACACATACAGTGAGATCCTGTATGTTCCTGTTTTGTTGATGTGTGATCATGTGCATAAGATGTGTCTTAATCTTGATTATGTTTTTTAATATATATATATTGCATAAACCTTGCTGACATGCATAAGTTTCGTCTTGTTCTTCAAGAATAAAGAGTAATCAGAGATGGAATCATCTCTCATTAGAAGAGGCAAGTTGCAAGGGCAAAATGCTGGTTTCCTTTGAACTGAGATTAATAGGGCCAATTTGTGTTGAAGGTGTGTTTTCGTGTGATTTTTTTTTTTGTGTGTGTGTTTTTGCAGGGGAGAGGGGAAGTGTTTTTAAATGCTCATAAAGAGCGTATTTACTGAGAAAGCTTAACGTTTCCTGTCTGTTTCCTAATGCATATTGTGTCTTGGAACTGCATGGTAGAAACTTTGCATTTGCCCATTACAACTGTGTAAAGACCACAATTACATTGCGTGTATTGAATACGAATTTTCTTAAGGGACATTCTCAGTCTGGAGCTTGAATTTCGTATAGTGGACACATGTAAATATGCTTCAACATATGTGAAAACCTACAGTTGATAATATATTTACGTTGCACTGTAGTGAGAACAGTTTGTCTTGTGTTATCTGGGTGTTGTCTCATGTAGTTGAGCAATCGTAGAAGCTAACAGACAGCAAGACTCGGTAGCAGTTGAGATACATGACATGGTTTTAATATTTTTTTTTTTAAAAAAGCAAAGCTTGAACTAAGCTTTTATTTGCAAAAATTAAGAAAACTTTTGTGGTCACTGTAGTCTGGAGGGAAGAACTGTGCACCTAAAAACTCAGAGTACAGTTTTGTTGTTTCCATGGTCTTTTTGCTTTTTTCGATATCTCTGCGTGAGGAGCTCATGAAAGTCTAAAAGGAAAACATGACTTGAACCGTATTTCATGAGACAAGCAGGGAGTCAGTGCATCTGCTCAGTTCCGTGAATAGGCATATCCCCTCGGTCGTGGATCCAAAATACCAGGCACTAAAAATGTGTGAGGCTGTATCCAGATTGAGGGCAATGATGCCTTCGGTTGTGTGCCAAAGAGGGTATTTTATAGTGCATAGGGTCTTGTGATATTCAGTGTGTAGGAGGGAGCGTGTCAATATTAAATTTTGGTTCAATTTCTTATAATTTTTGTAATATCATGGAGCCAGTCATCTGATATCCTCTGCAGCTGTTTAAAGAGGTTTTGACTTTAAAAGATGCAGAACATCCTTGTACCTCACAGTGGCTTTGTTGTATGCTGTTTAGGCAAATAAGGTCTCCTCACAAGAGTTGGATTTCGTTATGGTGTCTTTGAATTTAAAAATCAAACAAAAAACCCAAACCACAAATGACACTTTGTCCTACAAGATACATGGTTTATGCGATGCTGCGAGAAAGATCAGAAGCTCTTGTGTGCGATGGTTCTCTGAAGTCTCTGCTTACATCTCCTCTGGTTTTGCATGTCACTGTTAAGTCTGGATTATTTAAAATGAAGATACTGAGTATTTTCCATCGTAATAGACCTAACTTCAATATCACTCTCTGAACAAGGATTAAGTAAGCAGGCAGCAAGTGTTAACAGTTCATCTCTTCATAGATCTGTCTCGTGAATCTGGAAATGAGCAATTTTAGGCTTCTAAGGTTTCTTGAACATAATATGTATGTCATGCTCCTCTGTTTTCATGAATAAAACAGGGAATGTTAACGCTAACTTGGGTTTGACTGTATTTAACATGTATTGGAATATCTTATTACAAAGATCACTGAATTGTGATTGACTTTAGAAAAACAGGTGCTGTGCAACCACTGATATCTCCAACTTGGTTTTACACTTGTAGGAAAAATTTCGTCGCATGATACTGGAGATACTCAACTTTGACAAATGTTTATCTGGCAAACAGCAAGTAGCATACACTGTAGAGGCTAAATTTGTGTTTAACAGAGAGACCACTGGCTATCAGTAAAAGTTTAATTTTAATATACCTTCCAGAATCAGTTTTTTTTTCAACTAAAACACATATTATTTGAATCCTGCAAGTATAGTACTAATTAGACTATTACAATCATGTTAAACTTGATCGGTTTCCAAAAAAAAAGTCAGTATCAACCTTTTGTGCAATGTAAGTGTTCTGTTATCTCTGTCCTGTTATGATTAATTTTAAAAAATGGAACTTGTACTTGCAATCTCAGACAAAATGTCCTTGGAGAAGCTGCTGCTAACACTGTTCATAATGTTTTGATTAAGGATAAGGCTTGTAAGGCTTGTAAACTAGAGCTGTGTGTCAAAAATGACTTCAGATTTTTGAGATCCAATTTAAATTTCAAATGGGATGTGAGCCACTCTGAAAACCGGTCCCTGATGGATCTGAACATGAATGCTTAAAGGCAAGTTATGCAAAACCCCCAGTGGGTTACTTTTTAAAGAGGCTAGAAATGCATTACAGCCTTTCGAAACGCCTGTCCTTGAGATTTGTGTGAAACTTGGATGTGTGTCTTGGAATACTCTGTATATGCTGCACCCGTGCTGGGCAGCACTTGTTACGCAGGCTTTCTGCATGCAAATGTTATACAGGATTGTCTTTCATAAAAAGTCTTGCAAATTTATACTATGGCTATTTTTACTGAAATTCCATATAAATTTTGTATTTATGACCATCATGTTGTTAGTTTTCATTTTCTCACTGTGTAGATGGCTCATCTGCGTAAGTAACAAGATTTATTTATTTTTTTTTAATTCCAATCTTCCTATTAATAATAACGATTGTGACTTGGGAAGATTCCTTAAACTCTGCAGAAACAAACCTGTATGTTAATGAATTGTTTCTTTGTTCCATGAGTGAAAAAATGCTTGGAAGCACAACTGTGCTGAGGCCTTCATTGTAACTCTGGGCTGAGCAGTAAACTCTCGAAGATAGAAAATGCAGCTGGGGCTCAAATGCAGGCTGCCGGGCCAAAGAGTGTAATTCCGAACCTTTGAGAGCTTCACCTCTATGTTAGGCTAGTTTTTTTCCCTTCCCTGAGAAATCCACTGACTCCTTACAAATATATGCTAACTCTCTGTGGGATTTGGAGGACAGCAGTGCATCTCTCCCTACCGATGTGGGGAAAAATTAGTGTACAGATCTAAACGGCACGTCTTCGGGTTGTCGTTCACAGCAAGCAGTCGTTGCTAAAAAACCAGGGCTCGGGGCCAGGCGTGCTGGAGGGAGAAGTGACTACCAGGAACCATCACTGCGACAGATTTGGATGATGTGAACAACTGCTGGGTGCAGTACGTGGGTTCATTCTCCACAGGTGAGTTTCCTGAACTTTTTTTCTTGGAGCAGAAGTGCTGCCTGGGTTGGGTGGTTTGCGAGTCACTTTGGTTTTCTTCTTTTCCATTGCAAAGTTGAAGGGGGAACAGTACCACATGAAGCCCTTGTCAGCATTTCTTTTATTGTTTTACTATTTAATCAGGTACTACTTCTACCTCATGGTGTGAGAGTATGAAATTTTCCCCGTGAAAACAGGCAGGTGGAATACTACAGGTAAAATCCAGTCGGGTTTTAAAAATTACTTTAAGCAATCAGACAAACATAAGCTGTATTTTTATAGAGGAAATACAAAGATAACTCTGATGGCTGTACTGGAGTGGCAGAAAAGCTTGAGTTTCTACCCTGGAATTTTGAACTGGACTGGGTCTGGCAATGGGGCTGCCGAGAAGCGTGTGCCCCCTCCTAGAGGCTCATCACACAGTGAAAATGAGAAGCTGCAAGACTTTGCAGTGTGGC